CAGCACTTTAAATGTCATAGATACCTGACTTTAAAAAAGAATAAACAAGCTGAAGACAAGTGCAAAAAAAATTGAAGTGGATAGAACCGGAACCAAGAAGTACAAAATCTGAAAATCTCTACCCAAAAGAATGGGGATCCAATTTTTATATAGCATTCGTTTTGACTTTTAATTATTTGGAGCAAGGGCAGGAAAGGGAAAGGAAACAAAAAAGTAAAATGACTACACCAGCATTTTGTTTTTTCCTCAAAAAGTATTTCTTAATTCCATTAATTTCTGTGCTAAAAAATTTGGTTTAGTTGCTTGATCCTTTAAATACTGTGAAGCTGGTTTATACTCTTTTATAGCTCTATATTTTCAAGATCTGTTTTCCAAGAAAAATATTGAAAGATTGTGTATATAAAGAAAATGAAAACTCACTTTTTTTTTTTTTTCTCCTTTAAATGTCTAATGGTAGATAGATATATGAATAACTGCAAAATTTACCATCCTACCAAAAGACTTGTGGGAGGATAGCAAACACAGACCACTTCTTCACTAAGCAGAGGCAAATGCCGCTAGAGTGAATGCTGCCACCTCCCCTATTTTCTGTCCAGGAGGCAAGATGACGTGACCACAGCAGGGCAGAGCAGGCAGCAGTGGCAGTGGCTGGAATGAGCAGTGGGCAGGGGACCTCTATTTTTATCAGACGCAATGGTACATTATTTTTTGCATTTCTGAGATATTCACCCATCGTGTGCCACCTTGAGCTGTGAGTGTGCGGGGGTGAAGGTGTGTGGGTCTGCTTTTTCCCGTAGAATTATTTCTAAGAGTGGGAGGTTCTCATCCCATGTGTACCAGGCTGAAAGCAAAGCAACTGTGCTCAGGAGGGTGCTAAATAAAGAAAGTGGTTGAACAGAGAGGGAGGATGAAAGAACTATGCTGATGCTGGTGTCAAAATAAAATGGGACGATCACTTAAAACAAAAGCCTGGAAAGCTGTAATGTACTTGGAAGATTTAATTAGAACTACGTAGGTCTCCCCTGGTTGTGCCCTACATAATAATTTAAGTTGTGCAAGGTATCATGCTGTAAAAAGTGAAGGCATTTACATCTTCTATTGAGAGTGGAAATACCTGAATGTTGCTGCATACTGACAAATAAAGTACAAATGGAAGGCAAAAAAAAAACCCAAAACCCAAAAAATCAGTATACCTGTGTTTTAAAATGGTTGTCATAGAATGCTTGGGAGCCTAGAATCTCAAACCTGTTTCTCTTTTAATGTGGCTGTTTGTACATAACTCTCACTATTAACATATAATTTGGTTTTTGTATACTAGAAGATTGTACAAATATATCAAGATTTGTACCTGCAAATTCTTCACTGAAGTTGCAAGGCAACCTTAGCTATGTAATGTGCCTATGACAGTATACTACACTATGTTCTGTTTTATATTATTGGGAAGCCAGGTTGTATTGTTTGCCAAATATAGAATCATAGAATCATAGAATAGTTAGGGTTAGAAAGGACCTGAAGTTCATCTAGGTCCAACCCCCCTGCCATGGGCAGGTACACCTGACACTAAACCATGTCACCCAAGGCTCTGTCTAACCTGGCCTTGAACACCAACAGGGATGGAGCATTCACAACCTCCCTGGGCAACCCATTCCAGTGCCTCACCACCCTAAGAGGAAAGAATTTCTTCCTTCTATCCAATCTAAACTTCCCCTGTTTAGGTTTTAACCTGTTACCCCTTCTCATGTCACTACAGTCCCTAATGGAGAGTCTATCCCCCGCATCCCTATAGCCCCCCTTCAGATACTGGAAGGCTGCTATGAGGTCTCCATGCAGCCTTCTCTTCTTCAGGCTCAACAGCCCCAACTTGCTCAGCCTGTCTTCACATGGGAGGTGCTCCAGTCCCCTGATCATCCTCATGGCCCTCCTCTGGAGTTGTTCCAACAGTTCCATGGCCTTTTTATGTTGAGGACACCAGAACTGCACACAATACTCCAAGTGAGGTCTCACAAGAGCAGAGTAGAGGGGCAGGATCACCTCCTTCGACCTGCTGGTCACACTTCTTTTCATGCAGCCCAGGATACGGTTGGCTTTCTGGGCTGCAAGTGCATGCTGCTGGCTCATATTTATTTTCTCATTGAACAACACCCCCAAGTCCTTCTCTGCAGGGCTGCTCTGAATATCTTCTCTGCCCAACCTGTAGCTGTGTCTGGGATTGCTCTGACCCAGGTGTAGGACCTTGCACTTGGCATGGTTAAACTTCATGAGGTTGACATCAGCCCACCTCACAAGCATGTCAAGGTCCCTCTGGATGGCATTCCTTCCCTCCAGTGTATCAACCGAACCACACAGCTTGGTGTCATTGGCAAACTTGCTGATGGCGCACTCAATCCCACTGTCCATGTCCATATAACACACAAAGTTAATTAATAAATTGTAAGGCAGAAGGGATTCTCTTTATTTTGGTAGGAAATATTTTATCTGCTTGTTTGCAGCTGACCATGTGTAATATACATTTTTCTAGCAAATGTATAGCAAAGTGTCGGGGAAGTAGGCTGGTTGTTATGCAGTCCTGGATAGCTGCACTTTGGGTCAGGTGGGAATCACCTGGAAGGTGGGAGGTAGCATCATACACATAATTTTCCTGAAAAACATTTTTAGGTAAGAGAAATACCTGGAGTTCAAGGTGGCTTTGGCATGAAATACTTAGAACAGCAAAGACGGACCCAGGAAAGAATGGAGGGATTTCAAGGTTCCTACAGCGAATGTGGGTAGCAGTAGAGCTTGCTCATAGGAGAGAACAGGAAGGACTGCTCACTTAAGAGGAAGACACTTTTCAGAGAAGAAATGGGTTTTACCATAATGCACATAGTTGCTAGAATTTAGTGGTCTGAAAAGTGGAACAGGCAGAAAGGATCTGACCTCTAAGAATGTGACATGAAAGAGAGAGAATTGCTTTCAATCACCTTTTCATTTACTCCTCTTTGCTGGCAGATCTGAATCGCAGTCTGCAGATATGACTCTTCTAGATATAAAAAATATTACCTGTTCTAATGTACTGACTTTTAAGTGACTTCACTTCAAGGAGCATATTTTGCAAGTGTACGGTCCCATCATAGTAGTCATTTAGTGTAATTTGAATAAACCTTAGGCTTCCATGACTAAATTCTTGCTTGAACTAGCATGGTATCTTAAATGATTATCCAGCCTTGGCAGTCATCTCCTGTAATAGATATTTATCTGTCTTTGGCAAGCTGTCCAAGGATTTAATTAGCTTCACTGTGTTGTACCTTCTGCTTAGCTTAGTGAATTTATCTCTCTTCTGTTATTGTATGTCATTAACTTTCTGTCTCCTCGATTGCAGCCTAAATGGATCCTCAAGTTATTTTATTTTTTTTTAAGGTAAACTCATTAGACACAGTTCCTTTTTTCTTCCAGCATTTCAATATTTTAACCATAATTTTGGTCTCCTAAGGAAGAGGGAATGTAAGTTTTCTCTGCTGTGTTCCATGAATAAAAAACTTCAGGCTAGACTTTTTCATTCATCATTTCACAAAGACTGCAGAAGTCTCAGAAGTCAGAGATTTCCACAATGAATTCTCTGTCCTGTTAACATGGAGGATTATTTCTACATTTCCAGTAGTACACTTTCCCATATGAAATCCTACTTCTCTTTGCACCTAGCTTAGGAGGTGAGTTAGGCCCCCCTGTAATGATGATTTCTTTAGTACCTATGATAGAGACAACCCTGGCACTACCAGCATCCAAAGCAATACAATTTATCAGCATTTACTCCCTTGGTTTTCAATAAAAAAATTTTTATCAAGGAGAATCTAAATCTAGCTCAGTCCTAAAGTGTATTCAGTTCCACCCAGAGTCCTACTGCAGCCATCCCCCTGAATCTGGCTACATCTTCATTTTAAAACTTCTTTTATAAGCACATTTTGATGGCTTTAATGACTGTCATTTTTCCTAAGCAATTTTAATTTTCTTTCTCTGCTTCCAGTTGTTGCCATAGGTAGAGGCAAGCACATTAAAAATGCACAGTAGTGACCTTGTTTTACTTAAAGATATCTAACAAAAAAGAGACTAATTGAGGAGCTTGAAAGATCAGTCTTTTTACAGTGTAGGAAAAGCACTCTGATCATTAACCTTTTTCAACATTAGTCTTCAATGATGAAACTCCTAACTTAGGAGATGCAGGCATTACATAGCTGAGTTTAGAAACCAAGTGACTACTGAATGCTCTGAATATCAGAAACATTGACAGTGTTTTCACTGAAGAGCTTTTAAATTTATTTTCAATTATATCTATTTATTTATTTACTAAATGTGTAAGCAGTGAGTTCTATTGCTAAAAAAAATAACTCAGAGCACGGGGATTTAAGTCAAAAATATGTTAAGATACATCTATGGTTTATATGTGGTAAGAGGCTTGAATTTGTCTGAAAGTCTCCTTCATGCCACAGCCTGACTATCATGTAGGTTTTTCCCAAGTAGAGTATATGAACGGGTAAGAATATTTTTTATTTAAGTGGAGAGGTTTGTGAATGGGAGAATTGTAGTTCATAGGCTGGAATATCTTTTAACATAATTTACTAATGGATGTCCTGAGGGTCACATCAAACCATTTGCTTATTCTAATTAGTGTGAAAGCAGAACAAGATTATTGCAAATTTCATTAGACTGGTCCCATAATTTACACAGTTAAAAATTTCTTGAAACTTGTACTAAACACTTAAAATAAAACACTTGTACTAAAAATTTATAGAAGTAGTCTTCTTGCAATGTCATCACAGACTCATGGTTCTATAAAGACTGTTTTGCCTAAATGTGCACAAAAATATAGTCACAGATATTTTACAATGTCAGTATCTTTTTCAATATTTCAAATGATCTGAATATCTTTCTGATCTAAGTCAATTTTGTCAATATTTGCCATACAGGAATTATTGATACTAAACTTTCCTTTAATGAATTGTAAGCTTTTTTTTTTTTTTTCCCATTTTTTCCAACAAATGTTTTTGGAGAATCTCAGAAACAAAACAATCTTGTGCTTAACAAACCAGGAGAAACTGTTGCTTTTACTTGCCCTTACAAAATTGCAGATTCAGTGCTGCAAGTGATGTGGGAAAGGATTAAAGCAGATTGAGTAGATATCACTGTTCTGTGCAGCTCATCAGGAAAGCAAAGCTTTGGTTCAGATTTCAAAGAGCGTACACTGTTGGGCTGCTCTGATCAGGCAAACTCCAATATTGCCATCCCAAACATTACAGTCTCTGACTTTGCAACTTACCACTGTGTAGCTACTGGGAGAAACAAAACCCATGTAATGATTTTTACTGTGGCTGGTAAGTAAAGGAGGAAGTGGTAAATGTTTTCATAAAAGGACCTTCTGAGGCATTAACACTTTCACCCATATAAAATAACTCTTTGGTAACAAGTGAGGGTTAATTTAAATAATACCACACTCCAATTAGCAGCATGTAAAAGATAGCAAAGTTAACAATTAATCATGTTTCCACAGAAAGAAACTTGTTTTAAGCTTGTCTGATCTCATTATTGAACTTGGCCTGTTTGTGAAATACTGTTTTGATGTTGAGAGGAAGATAGACTGCATGAGTTTGCAGGGACAGGAGGGCATTCTCCCAAAGAAGATATGAGGGGAATTCTCAATTAGCACAGAGAGCCACAGGGGCCCAGGGGCAAGACTTACCCTCCAATGAAGACAAAGAGCACTCTCAGCTGAAAATGTAAATATATATGGGCCTCAACCTTACTCTTGTAAGGAGTTTCTCTGGGAGGAAGTGAAAAGCTCAGTAGTTTTTACTGTGACTACTGTCACAGTTTAATTGTAATGGGAGCTTAGGTTCGCACATGTAGTTTTAGTTCTGTGTAGAATGTATTTTGAAGATACAGTTCTTGTTTGTTCTGGGTTCAGCAGTAGCAGTCATTTTTCTCCTTAGTATCTGGTGCCGTGCTGTGGTTTTGACTTTCAGCCTGGGAGCAAAGCTGATAACACTGATGGTTTTAGTTGCTGCTCAGTAATGTTTACTCTGAACAAGGACTTTCTGAATCTCATGCTCTGCCAGGGAGGAGGGGAAGCCAGTAGGAAGCAGAGACAGGGCACCTGATCCAAACTAACCAAAGAGGTATTCCATACCACAGCATGTCATGCCCAGGATGCAAAACTGGGGGCAGTTACCTGGAAGGGCTAGATCACTGCTTGGTCGGGCTGGGTATTGGTCAGCAAGTGGTGAGTGGTATTCTCTTCCCTTGTTATTTCCCTTATCATTATTATTACTGGTGGTAGCAGTAGTGGTTTGTGTTATACCTTAGTTACTGGACTGTTCTTATTTCAACCCGTGGGAGTTACATTCTTTCTGTTCTCCTCCCCATCCTTCTGGGAGCAGGGGTAGGAAGAGGGGGGGAGGGAGTGAGTGAGCAGTTGCGTGATTTCTGGGTTGCCGTCAGCTTAAACCACGACATTGTTCTATACCAGTCCTTCTTCTGTTGCAGTATTCAGTCCAGCTTTTGGTGTACTGCCTTGCTCCTGGTAATACATGAGTGTTGGTAGACATATCTAAGACCTGTAGCATGGAGTATAAAACTTCAGAATATGCTTAATCTGCAATATGGTTAATTGAGAAGTGCAAAATATGTTTGCGAAAAAATGCTGATCTTCTTTACTCTTGATGCTTGACCATGAAAGTCCATGAAATTGAGCAGTATGCCATAAAGAAAGAGGCATCAGGACAAAAATTCCTCTCACCTTTGACAATTTCAAACATTCAAATTTCAAAATATTTACTACATTGGTATAATCAAACTTATTTAAATTGTAGAGTAATAGAAATATTTTCTGTTTGCTCCAAGTGCTTCTCATACCAAAATGGATGCATGAGTTGCAAGCAGCACAGTAATTTTAAGAATTATCAGAACTACTTACACAATGTTTTTTCAAGAATAGTTTAGTTTCCATGCTTCTTTTGTTCTTGAAATAGATCCTATTTATAATTTTTTGTTCTAACAATGCCAGCATAGTTATGCCTGTTTATTGTAGGAAAAAAAAAGTATAAAACCATTGCAGAAGCTGAAGTACAGTCTGATTCAGCAATCACTCGCTTGTCTCCCTTTTAAGCCCTCACACAGTATCACACAGTATCACACAGTATCACAGTATGTTAGAGATTGGAAGGGACCTCAAAAGATCATCTAGTCCAATCCCCCTGCTGGAGCAGGAACTTTATATTATGAGGTAGTTTTGTTGAATTTTCACTAACTTCAAAAGACGTGAAGTCTCAAGGATTTCCAATGATTTCTCTTTAACACTTGAAATGTTTCATAACACAATATTTGCAGTGAGATATGGAGAAACACTAAGGGGAGAGAAGCAACAGGCCAGGCGCCAGCTCTCCCCCCACAATATGTGGCATAGCCAGTGAAGTCTCTCACAAATTCATGAGTGCCTTTGCTTGATGCAACAGCTGTGGCCTGAATAAATCAAGTGCTGACAGAAGCCTGACATGCTAGTTCTTTGTGTATGTTCTGTCAATTCAGTCACATTGTTTTCTTTGCCTTAGCATTACAGTTAAGCCACACAAGAGCTTGGATTTGCTACCAAACTCCTCCAATTTTTGTAGTCTGTCAGTGTGATTCTACATGCGTCCTGCGAATCTTCTTGCCTTGCCCAGTTCCAGAGATGTTTTGAAATACTGAGTCTAGAAGTTGGGACAATAGCTGCACTGTAAGTAGTAATACAGAAAACTCTGATTAGGTAGAGAGAAAGTAAAAGAAAAGAAATATTTTTATTATTAATATTTTTTGAGAGACCCCAAGAATGTCTGAAGAGGAAGAATCTTGGGTGAAAGGCAGTAGAAATAAGAGCTCAGGATTATTTGCAGAGCTGATAATAGTTCTAAACCTGCAGATTCTGAGAGGTGGTACTGTAGAAAGAAGTAGATTGCTTCTTGCCTATAGGTGAATGTATTTTTGCAAGGAAAACCAGCATGGTATTCCTATGAAGAAAAAAAGAAAGAGAGGAGGAAAAAGGTATTCAAATGTCAGGAAAGCCTAAACTATTCTTGCAGTTTTATCAGTAGAAGTCAACATGCTGCATTTAAGGTTTTTCAACATGAGTGATGGTAAAACTGTAAGGTGCTTTCATTGTCATTGTTCGTCCATTCTATCCTGCTAAATATTGTGATTGTTGTTTTTAGTAACAGGAATTTCCATGTGAAAGGAGCCTTCTGCAAATCTTTTTGACCTCGAAACCTGGCACACATAAAGCAGCATGTGTATGGAAAGGAGTGTAGCTTTTGACAGCATCTACAGAAACAGAAGGCTGAAATTACATAATAACATAATGTATTCAAGAGACTTCGGATAAATTTCTGGTGTGCTCTTCATCATATTTCTCCTTCTAAAAATTCTAATAATATGGAGATTGGTCACGTCACCAGATTCCACATTTGAAACTATTTCTGATTTTTACTTACCTTGCTTTTGGTAGGTTTGTTTTTTTTTTGAGTATGTTTTTGAATGAAGGAAACAGACTTACAATCCATGTATTGTTTTCATAGATGACTGGGAAAGAAGGTGAGATACCATATGAAAGAACTGAAAAGTTAGCAGTGTTGAAAAAGGAATGCTTATTTCATCCTGCAGACCCAGACATTTTTAGAAATATGTAATAATGTTTTTCTTGCTTCAGTAGCAAGTGGGATAGCAAGCTCTCTTAGACAAAGTAAAATAGAAACATCTTGCGCTGCTGTGTGTTTCCACTAGGTCTGAAAAACTAGGTGGTGCTTGTATTTAAATGTATATTTAGGGTTAGAATTACATTAGGGCTTGTAGTAGCCTTCTCAGCAGCTTTGTTGCCCTCCTCTGGACACATTAGTCAAATACCTTAATAACCTTAAATTGTGGGGCCCAGAACTGTACATAGTGTTCAAGGTGAGGCTGCAACAATGCTGAATACAAAGAGATAATCACCTCTTCTGACAGGCTGCCTGTGTTGTTTTTTGCCTTTTTGGCTGCTGACTCCTGCTGAGCCTGTGGCTGACAAGTACCACCAGATCCCTTTCTGCAGGGCTGCTCTCCAGCCACTCCTCTTCCCATTTATACTTACGCCTGGTGTTACTCTGTCTTGGATGTAGAATCCTGCATTTGTCTCCTTCATCCATTTGGCTGGTTACCATACCATAATAGAAGGTTATCACATTAGTTGGACAGGACTTTCCCTTTGTGAACCCATGTTGACTGTGCCTTTAAATGATTTTCAACAGGACCCAGTATGATCTTCACAGCAGCAGATGAAAAGCAGGTTACTACTTGTCCAGTTATTGAGGGTTATCTATGTCCTTCTCAGCTGGAAGGAGACAGCAGCACTTCTGTGCCACAGAAAACAGAAGATAAGGCTACAGTTGGTGGTGAGGACAATCAGGGTAGGAGTGAAATTAATTTCCTTCTTTCCTCATAAATTCATACAGTGTGAACACAAGATATCAGACCACGTTGTGGGTCTCTACTCAACAAATTGCCTTTCTCTGGGCATGAATGCATTCATGCTGGATTTCTGCCTTAGAGATTTGAGCAAAACTATTTCAGATGTCTAGTTAGCATACCATATGTGCCAGTCCAGCAAGGCATGTGACAAACTACATGCAGATCCTTACAGTGAGTTCAAATCTCTTGTTAAACAAATTGCTGTCTGGCCTATCAGTGCTTCCTCCTCAAAACCAGTCAGTGCACTGAAGACCAAAAACCTTCCTGCAAAAAAAATTGAACTGATGCTGAAAATACACTTAATAGCCTGCCATCAGCATGCCACCTTTGATGAGAACACAAGAACTAAAGAGACACACGACAAGCCTCTGACATGTTTCTGCAAACTTTTGAATGTTATATTAAAGTCAGTAATTACAAAAGGTTTTATTTAGTTAAAGAAAACAAATGCTCCAGGAAGGCTTTGCTCACTTCAAATGAGAAAAGGCAAAAGGGCATTGAGCTGTTGTCAGTTCTAAAAAATCCTAAAATCTAATGATTTTTTAAATCCAAATTTAACTGACAGCTGATAATCCCATCTCTCAAACTCATTAACTCCTAGGTGATTATCTTAACCTGATAAAGCTGAGGGTGAAAATTCAGAAAAATTAGGTCTGGAGTGAAGGATGGGGATGCTGCTGAGGTTTGGAACTCTATCCAGGTTCACCCATCCTTAATGATAAAATATAAGATTTTAAATTTTTCTCTCCATGAATACAGGATGTTTTCTCCTTAAGTACTCATGACAGAGATAATGATGTTCTGTGGCAGGTAGCTGAATACCTAGAAAAAGACATAATCTTTCCTGAATTTGATCATAATTATATGCTCTATCCTGTCATTTTAAGTACACAGCAAATGAAAACATGCTAGTAGTAGAGTGATTTCATATGTGGTTATAATACAGAAGGCAACACTTTTTGTTATCAGGCAGCCTTCTCTGTTGTGTCACATACCTTCATCAGTGTAAACTTCTGGGAGAATTTTGTTTCTTTTTTCTTTCCAGTAAAATAACATTGGACTACTTCTCTGTAATCAGTATTATTTTCTTTATCTTTTTCAATGAGCTTATTAATACTAAAGATGTTTACCTGAGCATGTCTCAGCTGCCACTCAGGATACCCAGATAAGAAACTGTGAACCTTTTTGATTCTGGTGAGAAAAGACAGGGTGATGGCTCAACAGCTTGTTAGCTGGGACTAGAGTCCTGTCCTGGGTTCATCAGTAGCAGTCATTTTTTCTCCTTCTTAGTAGCTGGCGCAGTGCTGTGGTTTTGATTTTCATCCTGGAAACAAAGGTGATAACACCAATGGTTTTAGCTGCTGCTCAGTAATGTTGACTCTAACCTCCTCTGCCAGGGAGGAGGGGAATTCAGGAGGAAGCAGAGACAGGACACCTGACCCAAACTAACAAAAGGGGTATTCCATACCACAGCACGTCATGCCCAGGATGTAAAACCGAGGGCAGTTACCTGGAAGGGCTAGTTCACTGCTCGGACGGGCTGGGTATCAGTCAGCGGGTGGTGAGCTGTATTCTCTTCCCTTGTTATTTCCCTTATCATTATTATTACTGATGGTAGCAGTAGTGATTTCTGTTATACCTTAGTTACTGGACTGTTCTTATCTCAACCCGTGGGAGTTACTTTTTTTCAATTCTCCTGCCCATCCCTCCAGGAACAGAGGAGAAGTAGGGAGTAAGACAGAGACTGCATGGTTCTGATTTATGGCTGGGCTTCAACCACGACAAGTCCTTAGTGATACTGTTTTCTTTTGCCTAAGAACTGAGCATGTAACTTTCTTGTTTACCCAGAATGAAAGCTCTTCAAGGAAGCTGTGGTTTCATCTTTGAATGATATCTTCCCCCGTACGGTGGGCAGAACATCAAAGAGCGACTAATCTAACAACAGTTTTTTAGTCTGTTCACCAATGAATTGCTAGTGTTTATCTGAAATACAAGAAACAACCTTGTGTCCATGAAATATGACCACCATCTCTTGTGCTTAGTAATACGAGAGGTATTGCTCCTTTTCCATCCCAGGGCATCCTCACTTTTTTGTACTTTTTTTTTGTTTTACTCCTACGTGTTCAGAAACTGAAGGAAGTGCAGAGGTGCAACACAGGAGCAGGAAGCAGGGCCCTGTGGTGGGCTGCAAAAAGCTGACTTGAAGTTATGTGGTTTAACACTTTTTTTTTTTATTAATTCTACTACTATTGAAGTTTAGAACTGTGACAAGAGAAAAATTGTAAGGGTTTTAAATGCATGATAACTGTACTGAGGACTTGTGTCATGGCTTCCTGTGTGACTTTGAGTATATTACCTCTGTTCTTTGCCCCAGGTTTTTTCACCTCAAAAATGAGAATAATATCATATTACCAATCCTCAAACTTAGGCACTGCAAGAATATATTGACTTATAACTAGAGGCCAGTGTCTTGCCTGTCTCTACCCTTTAGTTATCACATATTTTCCTGTCTAGTTGCTCCTTAGCTTCATTTGAAGATGTGACTCCATACTGAAGAAGTCAACGCATTTTAAGCAAAGTTACTGTAGATGTTAACAGTGCATTGGTGGTAAGTGTAGTGTAACACCTGCATTGGTGGTAATTCTCAAAGAAATTATTTTTGCTTAGGCTAGAACAAATAGGGTGGGTTTCCTGACTTCCATCATCAAAGCACGTACAATAATATGTTATTAAAAAAAAGTGACCAAAGAGAAGAAATTTCTGTGGAAATATTTCTGATAAAAAATGAAGAGATTTCTTTTTGAATTAGAGCAGAAAATAATTGGTACTGCTGTGTGTAGTACCAAATAGAAATCCTCTTGGGGACTGAGGTGGTCTTCCTGGTACTCTGAAAAGTATCTTGTTGCTTATGGACATATTGCAAGATTGTTGGTTGTCTCTTACAGGACAACTTTTACAATGCCAATAGCATTCACTTAAGTAGTCAGAGTGCTTTTATTATCCATATATCAGGTCACTTACGTACTCAATGCTTTCTTACCTGGGAAGGGAAGGGAATAGGAAAGAATTATACAAGGCAGCAGGATTTTTTCATACAACTGTGCTCACTCACCTTTCACAACTTTCATAATAACTAGCTTATCAAAACAAAGGTGTTTTAGAAATGAGGAGATGGTTGTGAGGTATGAATATTGAGCATGAGCTGTCATCAAATAATGTCTCTACATGATCATTGATTTTCAACTTATTTTGCCATAAAAAGTTCATGCTGGTTTATGCAAAATACTAATCATATTTATTACTATAGTATTTTAGCAACTTGGGATCACAAATGATTTATCATCAGGTTAGTTAGAGGAATTTTTGCTGCTGTCTTACTGTTAGTTTTTCTACTGATCTGCATCACCACTGCTTATCACAAAAAGTGAGTAACAAAACAATTTGCTTAATATACAGAAGCAGGTAAACGTGAAGGTGTTAACAGCTCATGCTACTATCCTCTTCAGTATCAGTTAAAAAAAAATGTAGGTGTGAAAATTGAATTTTCTTGCCAACATTTAAAACTTGAAAAAACCTAATCCATTCTACAGCCTATGAAAGAAATGACAGTTTATGTCCATGTTGGTGTTGTGTCTCTCACCCTCCCCCCGCTTATTTTTCACATTAGAAAAACAAATGGCTTACTGAAGTTCCTTAGTCAGCTAAATGCTCACAGTGATATTAGCTGGAATTTCACACCAAAGGTAATCTGTCAGGAATAACATAAACCTAGGCATAGACTTTTCCTATTTTATGCATAGAGGGCAGGTGACATCTTGGGATGTTCTACATCTTCTAGCAATTTTTTTTGTCATATGATTTAATGTTCCAAAGTTTTTCACAGCTGGATCCAAACTAATTGTTTAAACCATTATCTAAGTTGGCTGTATTCCTTGCCAAGTATATGCTATTGGTGTGATCCAGAATCTCTGCTTCCAATGAAAAGAAAGAGTGAACAGGAAAAAAAATTCTTCTCCTGCCACAATATCTGGAACATGTTGGCAACAGCTTGCCGCATTTGCTCCTGAGTCGAAGGCCCTCTTTTTCTCTGTCCAGGCTTTTATGAAACACTGCTAATCTATCTCATACATGTTATAGTTTGCAAGTCAGAGGAAAGGTTACTTGGATTTTTTAATTGTAATTACTGGTTTGAGTGGGCAATACCAGCATTATATCTTGCATTCTGGAATTAGATATTTTGAAGTATACTATCATGCATGATGCAGATCCCTCCACTGTTTTTCTGACTGAATGTCAGCAGAAAGAAGAGGATCACAGAGACCTCAAATGATTTGTGTCCTACTCAGATGCAAGTGGAATTAACTCATATCTTGTAATGTATATTTCTTGACACCTTTCTCTTCTGTATCTGATCTTTATTTCCCTTAAATCTTATAGTCTAGTCCTAAACTATATAGACAGGAAAAATGTAATATTTTAAAGTGTGATTATTGCTATTTACTCTTTTTCTGATGATTTTTTTTATGTTTTACAGATGCATTTAGAGTTGTAACTGCATTCCATGTTATTAACAAATTAGCTCTTTTGGTTCACTAGTGTTTTTATTATTTATTTATTTTCTTCAAGTCACTACTTGTAAAATTGAAGCAAACAATTGTATCTTGTGATAACCTTTGTCTTGATCTATTTTTTCCAGTTGAGCTTCACTGTAATTTGTTGGGACAGATGCTTCAGTGCTTCTTTCTTTTTGTACCGTCATAATCAATGTTTTGCAACTCTAAGTCTCTCTCCCCCAACCCCTTTCCTTCTCCTTCTCCTCCCCCCCCCCCCTTAAATAATCCTATTCAAGGCCTTCAGAAGTGGAAAACGGAGACAATTTCACTGCTTCTGCCTTGTCTTTTCTGCTGTACTTAAGGAAATGATTCCATTTTCACAGTGGATATGAGACTGGCTTTCCACTTATATCCTCTCAGATGATCCTCTGTATAATCCAGTGGTGAGCTCCACTGTCAATATACCCTTATAAAGCCATTTGACCTCATGCTATTTCCATTAGTCTCATTTTGACTGTTGGGTCACTGTACCAGAATGAAGCTCTTACTAGTGACCATAGGCTATGGACTAGTCATTTACTTCAGAAAACACCTTTCCTCCCATGCCAGTTAATCAGCCCATGGTCACGTTAAGTTGTCTTAATTACATGACTAATTCTTAGCATGGTCAATAACTTCAGAGTAATTCATGTTTTAAGATTGACAGAGGAGAGGCTACTTTATTATCTGTAGTGTGTATGTGAGGGGAAGGGGGCATTCCACTGGTGCTTTACCAGCCACCTGATGCAAGACAGCTGGGAAACATTCAAAGTGAAACTTTTTTCATATGTTTTAACCTATAATGTATCTATAGCATACACGAAAACAAAAAAAATATTTCAATTGATGGTTGAATATTTCCCAATAATAAATCAGCAAATGAGGAAAATGTGGCATTTTATTCCTTTTTCAAAGTTGCAGCTGTTTTGAAGAAAATTCCTTAAATGTTTCTTTTTCTGTTCTTAATTTTTTTTAATGTTCTTCTAGCCTGGTAACAGTTATGGAAGTTCTAATTTTCATGGCACATGGAACACAGGAAGAAGAGAAGAATCATCCCTTGAGCAAGCAGAGGAGATTTATGTCAATTGCAACAATGTCTCATTTAAACCTAAGAAAATACCATTTGATTCCTTTTTAGGAATGAAGTAACCAGAGTGCAGGCCTTATATTTCCAGCTTAAACTTCATTTTCTTTGCACCATTGTGAAAGGTCAAAGTGGCTGTGCTGAGCACTACCAGGGTTGCTTTGGCTGGACACCCAGCCTGGGCTAGCTTACACCAGATATAACTGTGCTGTATGGCAGTCTGCAGCATTAACATATTTTTTTTGATTCATATGTAAAGATTATTTGTACTTCTGCAATTCAGTTTTACCCAGTAGGTGTGCTCATAAAAATTTTAGATCAACTCTGACATACAGAATGGAGCATTTACACAAAGTTAATTTGGTCTGAGGTATCTATGCTTCTGAAAAGCCTATATGCGAGGGCTGAGAAAGAAAATGTGCTTGATGTTGTCTATATCCATGATTATTGCCTCTCAAATGGAGTGCTTTATAGAATAATAAATATCCATTATTTTCCACAAAGGAGGTGCTGTTTTGTGGCTGGGCAAAGAGTACTATTCAGCTCACAAAAGCAAATATATCAGGGATCCCTGAACATAGATTTAAAAGTATGAACAGCAGCTTGCTGTCTGACAGCTGTGTGGTTTTACAGGTTTCTTGCTGCTCATCACAGTTATTTCAATGCTTTCTATTTGTGGATGGAATAGAAGTGCAGCCCCTGCTCTCCTCCCTCCCTCCTTCCATCCCACCTCTCCCCCCATGTCCAGGAAGAAAAACCAAACCATGAAGACTGTTGCTGTCAGGTTATATTTAATAATAATTTATTATAAGGTTTAGTTGCGCAAAAAATAAAAGAGAACATGGAAGATATATGAATAAATGATGCAAAGCAGAAGAAAGCGTGATTGAGAACTTTTACAAAACAATACACATACATATGTAGTATGTGTGCACATATTCAGCTGAAACCTACAAAAGAAACCACACAGAAATTGGACAAAAAACCAACCAACCAAACAAGCGAAAAAAGAAAATCCTTAAAGAAACAGAACTAGAAGGCAGACCTGAGAATTAGGTTCTACACATCTTTTGGCCTTTTACAAATCTGCTGTATTACTGAGGGCAAAATCCCAGAAGATGAAGGTGTTACCATGATGGCTGATAATCATATACTACAAGCTGTGTGCCTGGCCCACCTGTGCTTGACTCCCCTTTTCATTTGAAGCATTAGTAAAAGTTGCTTTTTTTTTTTTTTTTGTGTGGTTTTTTTTTTGTTTGTTTGTTTTTTTTGAGGGGGAAGCTTTGTGAGTCTGCCTATGGCTCAATTACCTGTTCCAATGGGCTCGCTAGGAAGGAGCATCAACAGCTTGACACTGGAAAGCACATTTTCCATAGCCTTCTGCGATGGAAAGCTTTCTTCACGTACACAGAAAAAGAGTCTAGGTTCTTCTGAGAATAAAGTAGTCACGAGGCTCCTCTGAACTATTTGAGCTATAATAGCGCTGTGTGGTTAACCTACACCTCAGCTAAAAACGTAAAATCCTAAACCAGTGTCCTTTAACTTATCGCTGAATACTTAACTTGTGTACAATGTCATGTAACATTAGAAAACATCTCATTTTTGTTTTGTGTACCCCTGAACAAGGACACATACAAATTGCAAGGGCTATTTCTATCTCTTTCACTTTGAGGGCTTTCAAGATATATAAATGCTTGCATGTGAAGTTGATGAGGATACACAGAACTGTACTATTAATAAGTTGATTTCCTGAGTTATCAAATGTTATAGCAGATAATTCTAAGTTGTGCACAGCATTACAAATAAAACCCTGTAGTACTGGGTTTCTTCGATGATCCCATTTATTTTAAAATGCTAAAATGATAATGTAATGAATTTGATTATGCTGAAGTTCTCAGATGGAAGCCTGATACAGAAATATCCATAAGCTGAGAAGCTGGTAATGTTTCACTGTTTGTGGAGACAGTCAAAATACATCCCTACTTTACTAAGGGTAAAAGCGGGAGATGTTGAGGTTGAGTAGCTGGAATATCGAATAGCTTTGTTTATTTCTGGTAATACCCTTATTTCTTGCCTCCACTGGTACTTTTACCTTGTCTTTTAGAAAAAATCACTTATTTCGGAGATTTGAGGAAGAAAAAAAAATCCGTAGTGCACATCTTTGCAGGTATTTTATCTATTTTAATTCAAATTTCATAGACATATTACTTCTACCAGGATAGTCCACAGGGAAAATCACATCACACATAGCATAATCAGAACAATATATTATTTCTTTTTCTAAAAACAAATGCAAAACAACAGCTTCATTTTTCTACCATGGTAATATCAGTGAACAGCAGCTGAACATGAGACTGATACAAATGAAAACCCAAGAGAACCCCAAATTTATCAATATTGTAATTTTCTTAAAAACTACACACAAGCTACACATAAGAGAAACTTCCAAAAGTGTAATTTGAAATGTAATATGAAAACTTTGGATATATTATGAGCCTGGCAAGACAGGAGTCAGTAAAAGTCTGTTTGCTGTGACAGAGTTTGAATTATGTAAGTAGACTTTCTGGTGTAAAATAGTACAAAATATTGCTGCTTATTGCTATTTATTTTCAATACTTTCCATAGATTTCCCTTTTTCTTTGGGAAAATTTTAGTCCCTTTTGAGTAAACTTCATGAATTGTAATTTGGAAATTTTATGTTGAACAATCAGTGTGCTATTACATGCTGTATTGCTTGCCCAACTAATTAAGAGCAAGGAAAAAAAAATCAAGGAAGTAATATGACACAACTATAGACAGAACCAGCTCAGCACACTAGCTAAACTCCAAGATAATTCTCTCTTTTTTTTTTTTTGGTGTGTGTTGATGCCTTGGAAATTTTGCTGCAAGGAAATAAACATAATAAAGCACGGTACCATTTAAAAACTGAGTCTTGAATTACTGGGTAACTACCTTCTGTGTAACTGGAAAATGAATCTACGAGCTCTTAAGAAAACCAAAATCAGTATTCTTTTCCATAATAATAAAATTTATCTTTTAGGCAGGATGAAAAAAGGTGGATGGTTAAGTCCCAAGTTCAAAAGAAAATTCCATGATAAACAGTTCTACTAACTTTTTAAAGGGTGGAAACTCACTTTTTTGATTGTTTGTGTTTATTTTTTAATGAAATCAGGAAAAAAAACATTTGTAATCAGTCTTTGTTGGGATTTTTGAATGTAGGAGAGGCAGTCACCAGAGTATGGCTCAACAGGGCAAATATGAAACTCAGTCTGTGAAAGAAGGTGAAAGAACGGTAGCATACATTATCTCCTATTATTTTCTTTATCTCAATTATGTTCCTTTACTTTGAAGAGCTTCTTTGGCTCTTTAATATATGTTATTCTGCCTGTCTTCTGCTCTCCCTTGGCTACGCTTCTGGGGGTAAAACAATGTTTCTGTGAGGAAACAGCCTGCTTTAAGGGCCTGACGCACCACAGAGCACAAGAAGCTGGATTGCTCCAAATCCCCTTCTTTCTGACCTCCACTTGCCTTAAATTCCCAGGTTCCTTTTCTGTTTGGCAAATAATTGTTTTCATTTATCAACGGCTTGATCTAACTGTGCTGTGCAACTTAACCAACTACTTCCCATCCAAATCTTATCCCAGGATTAGGGCACAGGACCAAGGCAACAAAGCAGGCAGAATAGTTAATGTAGAGGTGCTACCTGTTTGATGACAGGTGGATGCTAGCCTGCTCCTGAGAGATCCAAGTAAAAAAATCTTACTTTGGAAAAAGAAAAGGTTTCAGAGGATTAACCTCATTGTCAGGTAAGGGTAGTGAGGATTTCTTTGTAATCATAAAGATATATGGGAGTGAGCCAGGGCTCTGATTTTTTTAGATTTATTTTTAAATCTTACCTGTATCATGCCCCTCTAAATCTTCTATGTTACTGAGCTATGCAAAAGTTCAAATCAATGGTAATTACTTACAGAAGTTGAAACTGTGCCCCTGTGTGTACTTCCCAGTGCAAGTGAAAGACTTATTTCCTTTAAAGCCTAGATGCCCAATAGGACTTGATGCCCTAAGTGGCTTTGCAAGTCTGACACTAAGGGCTAGCTCCAAAACCAGCCTTGTCTGTCTACAGGATAGGTGCTAAAATGCTCTTTTAGGCTGTGGACCCCAGGAGCAGAAACTATATGTCAGGTTCTTAGCCTATTATTTAAGGTCTTAGTAAGGCATACTTAGATAAATAACTAATATGAGTTACTAGTAGTGGTTGGCATATTTGTTCTAAACTTATGCTTATTTAAAAAGAGAATTTAGTGGTCTTAGGCAAAAAGTCTCAGTTATTCTAAAGGATATTTAACAACGTCCTTAAAAACTTATTTAATTAGGTTGTTACACTAAATATTTCATTTCTAGTATTAACCCATGAATTTTATAACATGGTTTAAGTGATCAATAACTTATCATACTAAGATACAGCCAAACAAATGCACAGTATCTTTCCTTTATTCTTTTTTTCCCCTCAATACTTCTCTCTGTTTGTGCTGATGTCTATATGTGTTCTTGAAGACAGAAATGTATGTTAAGAATATTTATAACTCTCTGTTAATACCATTTTTTCCTCTGACATAAAACTGTCTGAAGCAGACACAAAATATCATTCCCATCTCCTGATAAAGTCAGAAGTTGAATGTTCAGGGAAACTGTTTTGAACTCAACATGACCCACTGCTGTGTGCTTAAATATCTGCTGAATTCTCCTAATCTTTTTTTTTTCTGCATTGTCTGTTTTTTCCTTGTAACTATCTTAAACCAGTGCGACTTACAAAGAGCAGTTCTGGATATTTCCTGTCACAGCCTGTCATCTACAGAAATTCAGGAAATGCAGTAATTAACATCAACTAGGATAGCCTTATTTTACATCATGTATTCTGTTTTAGCTATAGGAGCAGTGATGAGAATAAATGTTTAACTGAAACCTCTATTTTTGTTACTGGTATGGTATTGCCAAGACAGCTGATGAATTTTGTTCTATTTTTTTTAAGTCCATTTCAGTCTTGTTATCATACAATCAAAAAAATTGAAACCAATATGTAGCCTATATTAAAAATGAAGGCTAACTTTGTTCATGTCAAATATTGTCATAGGAAAATAATCTACTGTGCAATCTATCCACTCACTTGACAATTCCAGGATTGTAAGAGAACACAGTAAATCTAATCTTCATGAGGATTTCTGTACTGAAGGTAAAAGAAAACAATGAAATCCATACTTTGGGACTTTCAGTGTAAGGTTTAAAAAGACTGACAACTTAGAGAGAGTGTTAGATTCTGAGCTTGCATTTAGTTAAAAAGAAAATATTTTCTCCATTATAACTTGCAATATTCATAACAATATGGACGTTTTAAAATGCTTTAATTATATTTAGCCATACTTCAACCTCAGTTACTTTCATATTTGCTTCAATCATATCCCCAAAAATCTGTTGAGCTGCATATGTATGCAAAGATGCAAAAAGCATCTTTGCTAATTGAAACTTCTGTTTTCCTCAATAGAACCAGTTTACCTGTGGATTCTAATATTTAGGTTTCTAAGCATAATACCACTGAAATAACTGCTGAATACACAACACCTTCACCTACCACCTTTTACTGTCTTGTAAGGGCCTGGGCAGAAAGACTAACTTCTTTTTACAACAGGTTAGTCAATATTCTTTGACCTATCTTTCATTTCACCATATGCCTGTACTTGCTTCCAACACAGCACACCTTTTTATCTAAAATTAAATGCGAAGAACATTTATTTACAATATAAAGAACAAACACAGCACCCTTTATGGAGTGCAAGACTTTATATCTGCAGAATTAATACATCCAACTTTATACCCTTTGATTTTAAAATTATGCCACTGCAATGGTGTTGCACAGTCATTATTTTCTACTTACAAAACATAGGCAGGCACCCTGACCAATTGTCTGTGATGAAAAATATAAGATGCTGATATACACAATAATAAGTTGGTTTGGAAAAAGAGTTGCAAGTATTTGGACAGTTTATGGAAAAATGAAACACTGGTGTAGCTGGATCTGCTCTTGAAATGAAACAGCAGCTTTTCACAGCTTCTCCGCAATCCACTCTATTCTGTGTGTGGGTAGAAGCTGCATTTATTCCTTTGCAGCAGCTAAAAAAAGAAGCTAAAATACGCTGATATTAACACTAAGAAAGATATTAATTGGACCATCTTTCTCCTTTCTTTTTAGGAAGAAACAGTTGCAAATAATTTCATTTTTTATGCTAAAAAGTACAGCCATTCAAGAGACATATTTTGTCATGGAAAACTATGCTGCAGTTTCTAGGTTTCTACATGAAAACTAGAAATGTAGCTGGTGAGCTAAACCTGGGTTGAGGTTCATACGCTTCAGGCTGATGGTCTTAGTTCCTAGACATCAAATATCTCAAAAGTCACTACTCCTCACAGTATTGCCTGTTAGGCTGGAGAGCTGGACAAGAATGAAGTTCACTCATTTTCTGATAAATGCAATTCAGACATTTGATTAATGCTCTTTTTTTCTCTTTGCAATGAACAGGTAAGGGTCTTCCCAGACTGCCTGTACTTCGCAACTCCTAAACGACTGGGTGCCTGAAGACTATATGTTGTACTTACATTGTTACTATAGAGAGCACTTTCAAAGAATTTTGAACTCAGATATCCAATTTTAACCCCTCATCCAGCAAAGTCTTATTAGCTTAGAACAAGACATGATAAGAAAGGTTTACTGCTTTCCAACATGATTTCTATTCATATCTTGTGAAAGGAAGTATTTTACCCAAATGTAATGGTAGACTTTGTCAAAACGAAAGACAGCAGATATTGTTGCTAACAAACTTCTTTGGTTCGTCAATATATTTCCAAGCTTTAATTGCTAGATTTTGGGTGGTGGAAGGAACCAACAAAAAGACTCAACCAAGAACAGAACTTTGAGCGGACCAGGTACATGTGAGGAGCTGAAATCAGGTCCTACCACAGAAATTAAAACCCAAACATTTCCTCAGTAAATCAGCAAAGTCCATTACAGTTACAAGATGCTCATCTCTCTTTTTCCTTTACATATGCAGACAAAATAGTTTCAAGGGAGTATAATCAAGGATGATTTATAATATCAATAATAACATGTAGCTGTTTAAAAAATGGGGCAACTCAAGTACCTTAGCACCATCTGATGATTTATTATGAGTCTTCTTCAATTTCTCCTTTTCTGTACCAAGGTACTTACTTAAAAATCAAAAGTACCAGCATGCATCAATCTATAATATTCACAGTTAAGATCTACCATCAGTAACTATATTTAGTAATGCTGTGTATTATTTGTTCATAGGGCTGAATATACCAAGAGTCATTAAAAAAAAAAATAATCATGGTTACAGGTATATCCTCAAAACCAAAAGAAAGCAACAGCCTTGTATTATTTCTTCTGTTTATAATGTACTAATGCTAAGTTCCATTCATACCAGTTGCATCTAGTTACCCCTGAAGACACTTTGTCACCCTCCATCTCTTCACAGCTCATTAGCTGAAGAGGGAGAGCTCTTCTTGGGTCAGGAGTCAATGTGTGTGCCGAGACTTGAACAGGGTCCCACAGGGTCCCTGAGCCTATTCAAAGACTCTTCGAGTCTCTAGGCAGGCAGCTCTACCACGTGTGCCAAAAGAGAGTTTTCCTTCTGGCAGAAGCACTAGGAGCTGTACAAAGTAGTCTCAGTGGGGAATCACTTAGATTATCGACAGGCATATGCCAGGAATATTAAAGCAATTCCATGAAAACAGGATTTTCTGGCAAACTGTTGGTGCAGTGCCTGTCTGGTTCTCATGAAGCTTTTCTAAGGAATATTTCTGGAAACTGTGCAGATACACAAATGTTACAGTGAAATCATCTGACGTTCTGGAGTGGCACCAATGGCAACTTCTACTGGCTGCTGAATACGTTTGTGTCAGGTGCACGGATTTCTTAGATTGTGTTACGGCACACTGTGAAGCTGCATCCTTATTTTCAACTTCCACTGTGGTTGTGTTTACTCTCTGCAAGAAATAGGCTCCCAATAGGTCAGGTTTGCCTGTTGTTGGTTGCATTCTCCAGCTTTGTCCTGGAGTTTTTGCGTATTGCTACAAGATGGGACTTTACAGATATTTATAAATGCATGAGTTGAGAAGGTAGTTGTATTACCACAGAAAGCAAACATTTAGTAAAGCTTCTATACATGACAAATCTTTCCTCCCTCCCCCCCCCCCCCTTTTTTTTGGGGGGGTGTGTTTTCTTTGGAAATAGCATCTACATTACCATTAACTAGACAATATCTGTGCCCTGCAGGGGAAGACAAAGCCATCTGTGGCAGACAGCAAACATTCCCCAGGAAATGGAAAGAGCACACTATATAGATCTTATGCTTTTTACAGCTACAGCACTACCTATAGGATTTAGATAGTTTTTTAAAGTATGTGGGCACTGGAACTATGAAGCAGTTCTTGATACTCTCTTGTTTTGCCTTTTCCTCACCTTTGGACTATGTAGAATATGTAAGTATTAAATGACTTGCACTCAAGTCACAGAGGACAATAGTTGCATGAACACACCATAGAAATCTACAGAACACACGGGAAACTTAATCTAAGGAATTTTAAAGAAAATATATAATTTTAGGGCACATGAAAGAACTGCAGTTGCATAGGAACACAAATAACTGGCCAGTTTCTCAAAAGCTGTATATTTAGGAAAGCTGCCTGAATAATGGAATTACACCAGCAAAGCATCTATCCTTTTGTACCACATTTTGCATGTAACATTTCCAAACTGGAAATTTTCCCAAACCAAAATGTCAACCACATTTTTTTCTTAAATAAAAGTGTGAATGAAACTTCCTTGATGGGTAATGCTCAGAAAGCATGAAAGGTACAGATCCCTGACAGTGTGGAAGAGCAGTTTTTCATTTAGCTCATCAAAATACACTCTCTAGGGTGCTGTTCTATTCCTGAGTATGGCAGCACTGTGAAAAGGAGAAAAGGTAGTGAATGAGACAGGGAAAAAGAGGAAAAATAAATAAAGCTGATTGCAGTGGGGTAGAAGTGTTTCATTCAAGTGGATCACAATGCTATTTTATTCAGCAGCTGTTCACTGAGGTGTAGAAAGCTGTAAGTCTGCAAGGTCTCTTAGCCTGGAAAATGGTTGGAGAAAATATGGACATACCGTTTAATCAAAAGCAGAAGTTTCTTCTGTACTTTTTAATACATATATATGTGCATATATAAAACAGCCCAACAGAACTTTTTCAGTTAACTTATGGTACAGAAAACTGATTATTTCATTGGCAAAGAGTCTATGTGTCTCCTCCTTGATATGCTGCCTGAACCTGTCCTGAGAAACAACTAATGAGACGAATCCTTCTGGTAATCATGGCAAGCATTTCACACTGGGAACAGAACACAAGGCTGCTTGGATCATAGCAAGAGGGCAGATTTTTCTCCTCACAATTCGAAACGTTTCAGGGCATTGTGAGGAGCACATAAATATTCAATACCACTTACAAAAGTCTAAATGTTCAGAATAGCTAAAACTTGTTCCCCAGCTACAGGTATGCCTTCCAACGTATTCCCTCATTTTACTGATTACAAACACACCTATCACAGTTCATATTTTAAAGATGTCTTCCAAAGACAGAAAATTTCCACTGAGAGGTACTCAACCTCCTTGTCAAAGTAAATCAAGGCTTGACACATGATCATACAAGATACAATGTGCATCTAAAACAGAAATCTGAGAAGGAAACAGAGGAAATCAAAGTAATGCTGATAAGAAAGACAAGACCAGAGCTCTACCATATCTGGCCCAGCCATGGCACAAGCAGTCATGAGCTGGGGATGTGTCCCACTTACAGTTGTCTGAAGAACAGTTTTCCCACTTTTTAAAGTTAGGCTTGCAGGCATGGTTACATAAGTAATTTGAAAATAAGATGACTTTGCAGCAATCTTGAGGATGAGACTCTGCTGCTGATAGGGACATTCACAGATGTCGGGGGGCTGTGAGAATTATGCATGTATTAGTAAGGGATGAATTTGTGCCCTGGGAATTTAAGATTAGAACTGTATCAGGCAATAACCTTACCTTAAGACATCAAACTCTATTCCAACAAACCATATTAGCCTGCTACTCCAGTACCTGTTGGTGTCCAGCTCAAAAACCCACCCAACCATCCTCTAGGGTATTCAGCGAACTCGCTTGAATCTGAAGGTGATCCCTGCAGCACAGATGCTGTCTTTCGAGTAGGTGACATTTCAATGACTGCAGTGGGAATCAGTGGGACCTAAAGATGTTACAGCTGAAGAAGGGACAGCCTGATGGTGGAGGCAGGAAGGAAGGCCCTGGTGTCAAATGCACCATCGTGATGGAGCCCCAGAACAGTCCTTCTCCGGTCATGCAGAAACCTTCACAGCAACACAGTTTCATTTGTTTCCACCAATTTCTCACAACACGAAAGCATCCCCTCCCACCCCTCCCCCACAGCCCCCCCTCCTTTCTGAACGCATTGACAAAAGGAACGGCAAAATAAATAAATAAAGACTTAGCCTCTGCTTCAGGGAAGCGGCCTTTCTGGGTTTCCGCATTGGCGGTGACCCAGCTGGAGCTGGTAGGCATCAGTTTTCACAGCAAACAGTGGGAGCGGAGGGGGCCAGCGGCTCCCCGGCTCTGGCTGCAGGCTCCAGGCTTCACTGTTTCTCTCGGCCGGCTGCCCCCAGCTGTCATTGTACCAGGCCTGAGCCATAGGTGAAGGCGTAGCTGCTGGCCAGTGAGAGGGATTGCTGGTGCTCCTCACCCTGCTCCTCCTGGTAGCTGGGAAACGTCTGTGCCCGGGACACCTTTGCTGAGCTGAGGCTGTGACCTGTGGTAAAGGGGACATGGACACAAAAGATGTAACTTGTCTTTCATTTAATTTACTTTCATCATGGACACGGACTTCGATAAGCTGGCTTCATACTGCCCCACGGTGCCGGGGTGCCTGGAGAACAGATGTGCACATTGACCATTTTTTTTTTTTTTTAAATTGCATAATATCAATAATATCTCTTATATTTGCTACTCTAAATCTCAGTTGTGTTTCTCAGTTAGAGCTGATGAAGAACTAATGCACATCTTTTTTATCTGAAGCACTGCTCAAGTAGTAGAAGTAATGTCAGAAGTTTCAAAGGGATTTGTCACACAAATGACGTTAAATATACTTACTGTCTTTGAATAAGATGCCAGCCTGTCAGGCAAACACAGCATCATCGTAATTTCAAAATGAACTGGAGGTGGGATATAGCCCATGTGGCAGAATACTAGCTGGGAAGAGTATGTGTGAGGTGTTTTCTTAGATGGGCTTGTGAAACTCATATAATCATGGCTTGCTCAGTCGCAGCCAGCAAGAGGGGAAACCAGGCATGAAAAGCCAATGATCAAACTCAGAAGATGACTTCTATGACACAGTTCTGTAACCTGATCATTTTCCTACCTCTAAATTCCCTTTTGAAACTGACATTTAATTAGTAGCACAAAGTTCATTTCCAAAGTTCATATCTTCATGCAACACATATTCTCCATTTTTTGGCAATGCATATTGAAGCCTTATTTAAAATGGCATTGGACGTATGCTTTTAAATGGCTTTAATAGATGTATATGTAGGAATGCAAAATCATATTTCTCCTTCAACCACAGATATATTAAGGAATAGAATACAGAGTCAAACACTGAAGAACTAGGCTCATGGTGCAATGTTTCAAAACAGCTGGCAGCTTTCTAGACTACCCGAGTAGCGCTGGAACTAAGAATGATGCTCACCAGATTTGGCAAAACTATCCTAGCGTGCATTTGGAAAAGTTTGGCTATAAAATGTTACTGACAGCTTAATGAAAATAAAAAATTATTATTCCCCTGAATACAAGAGAGCAATACTGGCACCAAGAGAGAAAAAATCCCAATGAATTAATTTAATCCTATTGAGGATGAAAAGGAAATGATATTCAAGTCTTTTATTTCCTGTATGTATGTCTCAGCTGCTACCACATCCTTACTGTTTTTTAAATGAATATTTCTAGCTGCTAAATCTTACAACAGGGCTGATATTAGCTATTCTCTAACCAAAAGGATTAATGAAAATAAGTGGCTTTTTCCCTGACTGCTACATTATATAATAATTAGATCCAATAAGGCATGATCAACAGACCCTAAAGTTCAAAGACACCTTGGCTCGAGCCAAACTGTGACATCCATCTATGGAAATAATCAGAAAACGAGTAGAGGACATCAGTTCAAACGAAATGAGAAAGCTATGGGTAACAGAGAATTTGCAAGTTTAGGAAAGAATGGCTCTTTCAATAGGCTTACTTTCAACTTATATTGTTTTTAAAAGAATGAACTATATTAATGTATTTGAATAAAATTAATAAAAAAACAATGGTGGTAAAATAATTAAACAGTCCACTGGTTCTGAGTTGGCCTGAGACTTCCAAGTAGTAAATGTCCAAAATTTAGATGTTTATTCAGCCTTTCTTTTTTTTTATTTTATTTGGTATATATATCCCCTACTGGAAAATTTAAATTATAATAAACTCTTTTATTTGCATTCCTACTAAATATTATTTTAACACTCATACTGATCCACCTTATAGAGTCTTGGGTACTGCAGTGTTTCCATAGTTACACTTTATGTCAGCAGTAAGGATTTTGAAATTCAAGTTTCAACAGAAGATTTTACAGTAAAGAATTTGAGTTCCACTGTTTTCTAAGCTTCCTCCTTCAACAGTATTTTCTGTGCCCTTTTGGGTCTTAAAAGGTTAAGAGAAAAGAAGACTGCTGTTCATGGACCTTGCACCACTTTGGTACCACACTTGTTTTTAAGAATACAAGACCAGCTCTTCTCTCCAGTTTTTCTGACATTGGCATAAGATGAATTTGATTAACACACACTCCATGACCTGAAGACACCAACAGAACCAGGGGAGGCATTTTTCCTGTGGCTTACATAGGAAATGTCTTTCCTTTATTTAAATTTACTCTCTGGATCATAGAATGCGATGAAGCTGTAGTCCAAAGCAATTAGGTATGAAAGATCCAGCAAGATAATTTAATGCAAACTGGCAAATTACACCAAAATTAGATTTTTCCTGATCTTAATTATGTTGGAAGCAGAGGCATTATACACAAGGACCGTATTTCATGGCATGGTGCTTATTTATAACAATTCTTTAGAGGAAAAAACCCAATGGTTTCCTAGTAACAGCAGTGATTGATGAACATACAAGTAAATCGATCACAATTTCTAGGAGAAAACTTGCAGTACTCAGCTAAATGAAAGAAAAAAACAGAAAAAAAGAAGAGATCCAGGAATAAGCTTTAAAAGCTCCTCGACTGCTGCTCACTGGGAAGTGTTTTTCTCTGTTTTTAATTCAGAATTAAAATTCTTAACCAGAAGACAGGTGTCAAACCTTTTTCTTTTGCAAATGAAAAAAAAAAGGTCATGCTTTTCATTTCCAACGCAAGAATTCAAGACACTCATCTGCTGTTCTTTGGTTAGAATACTCATCTCTGATGTACAGGGCCTGTGTTAAAATTCCTCTCTGCCTGTGGGTACAGTTCAACATTACACTTTCTGTAACAGAAAAAAATCAGCTGAAAATGTTTCCTTTCTTCTCTCTATCAACACTACTGTCCACTGTCCCTCAGCTGTGCCATTGCAACTGAAAGGCTGAAGCACTTTGGTCTTCTGGTTTGCAAAAGCCCTACAAGCAGTTGAACTGGCACAGGCAAGGAGCAGCGAAAGGTAAGAGACGGCAGGGATTTTGTCAGACTGGCTTTGGTACCAGATTGTTTGGGGAATAATGACCTGTGAGCAGTATGCAACCAAATGCAGGTGAATGCTATTGCCAGCAGACTACTCACTTCTCTGATGCAGGATCACTTTTGAAAACCTGTGACTAAGCATTTTCTAATGCAAGATCTAATATAAGTGCATAGGTTTTGCAGTTCAGTGATTAAAAATTAATAGAACCAGAGACTCCTATGTTTCAGCTTCCGTTGCAGATCTTGAAAGTACCTCATATTAGATAGTCACTAGGTAAAATAACCAGACGTTTGCAGCTGCACAGCAAGCTTTCATCTGGGATTTCTTAACCTCTGAACAGATGACTTCACAAAAAAACCCCACAACATTATGTGCTTTCAATACAGTTTTACTTTTTTAGGTAATAATAATAAATTTATTTTTGAAAATATAATTTTGCATTTACATTCCTAAGGTTATGAGTAGAAATCAAAGCCATTAAATTAAAGCCAATTTGATATCTTTATTAGTATTATGTTTTGTACTTGGGAATGCTCTCAGATTTCATGAGGACAAGAGCACTGTGATTGCAATAGATGTTTCTATAAATGTTACAGAAAACCACAGTTGTTCAAAAGAAATTTCTATGAATCAATCAGTACAAGCAAAAACCAAATAAAGTGAATCACTGGTTCCATTGTAAAGCAATCTTCTTTTTGGAAATATTCATTGGAAAGTTCTGTTGTTCAAAATAAACAGAACAGTCTGAAAATCAGTGAAACAGAGACGATGGGATTTTATCTACAAAGGATGGTGCAAGGAGGTGGAAAAAACCCAATTAGCTAACAGATGTTTCAGGAATGAAACGCTAGTAAGAAGGGGTTAGTTGTATGTTGTTTCCTCATGCAATTCTCACCGGACAATAAATGCAGCCCTTCAGCCAGAAAAGTTCACAAAAATAGTACTAGCATTTAATCTAGATTTATGTTCTCTAAGGACTTTCCCAGCATCAGTGAAAGTGCCTGTTTATACTAAAGGAGGCCAAAAAGATTACACTGAGGGTATGGTTTTGATGAGAAAGGTTGTCTTAAAGTGCTTCAACCTCTAACAGTCTTTGCAGAATTTTTGTTAAGACACAGGACAAAATGGGAAATATACTGCAGGTATGCACCTAAAGCCCACTAGGGAAAATGAAAAACTAACTGCAATAAAATAAATAACTATGACTGCTGAGTTCAGATGGAAGCTTTTATCTTCTAAGGGCTTTTGTTGCAAAGAAAGAGTCCACATTTTACTCTGAGTAAAGAAAATGTTCCTCAAAAAACCCCCAAACCCTTACTACAATCTCAAAACAGTTAAGTGTTTATTATTTCATCAAAAAAGATACTTTCATTTAAGGCAGAAAAGAAATGATTGCTGTTATCCTATTTTTAAATTGATACTGGTTAAAATTCTGCCAACTCTCCATATTGAATATACAGTGTCTTCTATTAAGCTGTTGATGACAAAGCAGCTTTTCCTTTTCTGCTGTTAGATGATTGGAATAACTAAAGCAAAGTTTCATAGGACAAACTGCTATAAAGCAAAACATTTATTTTGCAGTAATGATGCAGTTGGATTGGAAGGGCATTAATTGCTACAGCAATTATGCTGTCACTCAAAAAAGATGCAATGGAAGGAAGCAGATGGAAACTGAAAAATAGCATAAACTACATTACAGCACATTGATTTCCATATACTTATTGCACATGGAACTGTGGGCCTCTTTCAGTTTTAAATAAAGAAATACAAGTTTTCCCTTGAATTTAGCTACAGTTGGAATTAAAACTCCAGGGAGCATGGGTGGGCTCCAAATTTTATACTCTCTAAAATAATTTTGGATTCCATTAAATCAAATATTTATCTTTCTGAAGGCAAAATGAATATCAGGAAACATTTTTGATACAGGTTTTTTTAAAATTATTTAGTTTATTAATTAGAAATAATGTTGAATAAAAAAGTAAATTGATGATAAAATATATAGGAAATATACTGAGAGTGACTTTAAAATAAAAACCAAACCAAAACCCCAAGCTGCTAGCAT